ATTTGAATGAAATGTGAGCTTCATGGGAAGGAGAATTTTGTGGCCAGTTGTGCACTTTTTCTTTATTTCAGTAGGTCTGGAGCATCTGTGCAGGTCTTTTTATAGTGCTTGGTCAGTGTGTGTCAGTGGTTACAACAGAGATGGGCAGAGTGTGGCTTTGCACCTGCAGGAACCCCCCAAATGGCTGTCTTTGATGTTTTTGTGCCCTTGCCAAGTCTGTTTCGTACCCCCCTCCAAGAAAATGCTATCCTTTCCCCCATGAAAAGAAAAGTAAATTGCTACTCCTCGAAACCTTCAAGAGCAGCTGTTCTCCTTTCAGTAAGTTGCAGAGCCTTCTGTGGTGTTTGAAAGCAAAAAGTACAGTACATTTTTAAAAAATGGAAATGAACCAGGTTACTTGTTTGCAATTTTGGTGGCATTTGTGCCCCTTGGAGGATTCTGAGGACTTGTGATAAAGTGTGGATTTGATTCAAACGTATATTGTATAAAAATGAGTTTTTAAAATTTTAATTGTTATAAAATGATTTAAAAAATTTTTAATTGTAGTTTAAATAAAATGGATTAAATCACAATTAAAAATTTTTTAAAAATGGATTTTTCAACTATTTAATTTTAAAAGTATTTTAATATAAATTGTGATTTAAATCAATTTGGTTTTATAAAAAATTTAGTTTTATCCACCCCGCCTTTGATGTAGGTTTTCTGGGAAAAGAAGAACTGGACGATGTAGGAGGGGGGATTTTGGGAAAACTTCCAATGCCCTAAATAATGTTATCTTAATTTAAGAAGTTTTTCCTGATATTTAGCCTAAATCTGGCTTCCTGTAGCTTGAATCCATTATTATGTGTCCTGCACTCTGTTCTCGATTGTCCCAGAGTGCAGGACATGTAACAATGGGCTCAAGCTACAGGAACCCAGATATAGGCAGGTTATCAGGAAAAACTTCTGAATTGTTAGAGCAGTATGACAATGGAACCAATTACTTTGGAAGGTAGTGAGTACTCCAGTATTAGAGGCATTCAAGAGAAAATTGGACAACCATGTGCCAGAACTGCTTTGTTTTGAATTCCTGTGTTGAGGAATAACTCCATTATTATTTGATTCTATCTATTTTATCATGTTTGACTCATTTTGACTCCACAACATATTATCAACATATTATCCCAAGTTTTGACTTCACAACAGAAGAATAAAAAATGTGACTCATGTCAGTTTGATGTGCAGTATAAAGTTTCACATTTACCACCTATCGTTCTCTCTTTAGTGTTTTCATTATAAGTCATACTATGTGCTAGTCTTCTTGCAAATATTAGATGACTGACTAATCTTATGCCATTACTTCCAGCTTCTGAAACTCAAGAAGAGAAATGAAGAATTTAACTGAGGAAAGTGAAACAAACTAATGACAAACTAAGCCTTTGTTTCAGTTTTCTTTCAGTTTGTTATTAAAGAACCTTAGCAGTAAAGACCAAATATGCCTAAGTCTGGGCTGGACTCAGGCAAGTGCTGACTGTATTGTGCCCAGGAACGTGCTGTTGTTGTTTAGTCATTTAGTCATGTCCCTTTGTGACCCCATGGACCAGAAGAGCATGCCATGCCCTCCTGTCTTCCACTGCCTCCTGGAGCTGGGTCAAATTCATGTTGGTAGTTTCTCAGGGCTTGCCTTGAAAGAACAACTTACAGGTGTTTGTATTCTATATTTGGTCTATCTAACATGATGGATTGCAGTACAGTAGCCCAGACTGCAATTGATAAACACAGACATAAATATTGTCAAAAGCTTATTTTGAACATTCTTTTTGAACTTGGTTGGAAGTGGCACCCTCCCCTCTACATAGTATTGGATGGAGACATTCCAGCCATTCTGCTGCAAGTGTCAAAGATTGGTATTTGACTTAAACCATTAGTTGGATCCCAGTTATCAATCAAATCCAAAGTAATTTGTCTTTGACAATATTTTCTCTTCTTTCCTTCTAGGGATTATCACCAATTGGAAAGAACACAGGTCTGTTTAATATCACCTTTAAGTATGACAGTAAGTTCTGCTTCCTCTTGTTTTGTTGCCTTTACTCATTTATTTGTTAAAGCATTTAGCTAGTTGAAATTACAGCAAGAATGCCCCACTGCATTAAAAAGCATTGTTTGACTGATTTATAGGCTACCTTTCTCTTGATAAAGAGAACCAAGACAGCTCACAATATTAAATAATAGAATTAAAACATACTAAGTTAAACATTAAAAAAACCAGTTAAACTGTACACTAGTTAAAATACAATTGAGCAAGAGCAGGTAAAAACTAAAAAACTGTCATAACTTAAAAATGGTATCCAGGGAATGGATCATAATTGCTAAATGCCTCGCTGAAAAGATGGGTCTTCAACTGTCATTGGAAGGACGAAGGGGGGGGCAGTCTCATCTCCTGAGGGAGAGCATTCCTTACTGCATTTCAAGAAGAGTTGCATTAAGTGATATATGTTTCAAAATCAGTAATAAAAATAGCTTTTTTTATTTGAATGCCTTTGTTTACTGATTACTTACATTTTTAATGAAACTGAAGGTTAAGAGTAGGATGTATTATAAAATTAAAATGTAACTTTTAAAAAATGTTCAGGTTGGACTGTAACCAACTTTCCATTCATAATTGCTGCATCAATACAGAGACCTTACAAATGTAATTTTTTTCCAGATAGAATGGATTATATTTGTAGCCATTGACTAACCTGGTGCTCAAATCTAGCTGATGGCAGTGCCTGGAATGGTCTAGCATGAATCATCTGCATTCTTATTCTCTGATTAGGACAGGGACTGGGGATTCTAGGCTTGATATGTATGGTCACTGATTCAGGCCTCAGAGTGTCCCGTGCATGCAAGATTTTAAAGATCATCCTTGTTTTATATCACCTATAAAAGAATCCATGTAAAACTGAAAATGTAATAAGAAGAACTAAATTTTGAGCTTTAAGGCCAGAAACAAATGGCCTTCCACTGTACAGTTCAGTGGAAGCTGCAGTGGTTAGAGTGGTGACTAGATAGGTTGCGTATAAATAAATAAATAAATAAATAAATAAATAAATAAATAAATAAATAAATAAATAAATAAATAAATAAATAAGGTTGGAATAGAAAACAATAGTCAGCATGAACTGTTCTACTACTGAGATACTGTATCTTTATTTTGGCTGACCATAAGCTGCTATAACAGTAAAAAATGATACATGGAAGTGTTCTTTCAATACGGACTGAATGAAAAAGTACTTAACTATTTTGGCTTTGGTTTTTCAGATTGCACCCCTTATTTGAATTCAGTGGGAAAACATGTGATTGGTGATGTACAGAATATCACTATTAGCCAGTATGCGTGCTCTGATCAAGTTGCAGTGACAATACTGTGGACCGCAAATCTCATCGGTAAGTGGAGTAAAATGAATTGGAATTATATGGCTGTTTACCAAATTGCCTGTTTTCAATTTCTGATTTATGTCCATGCCAGCTGGAAGAATTATGGTCACCATCCAACACTGTATATAGAATCCAGTTGCTCTTTACAACTGAAATTAAAAAGTTGGTTTAAACCCGATGAGAATTCTTAACCCTAACAACATGGTTGTGAAAGGGGTTTTAGACAGTCCTTTTAAGATGATGTCCAGTGGAAAGGACATTATTTACAGGCGCTCTACAATTTTTAAAAGCTGCATATGCAGTCTTCTTTCAACCCTGAAAAATTGTCCAAGCAGAGTGGATTTGAATGAATAAGACCATGATTGGTTCTCTCCTGTTCAATTCAATGGGATCTTGCCCTTGGCTGATTCCCTCTAGATTATATTATGTGTGCCATTTCTGTCTTCCCCTTTCCTACGACTATGATAATGTGGTATTCTAGCTTGGAAGTGGATTTTAATGAATTTATTGGTGGTTGTGCCAAAGGAAGTTCAAGATGTTTATGTCATTCCTCTGAATTAGATTTTGAAAGTTACAGTTCGTAAAATGATGGAAGATATAAATAACCAAGACAATTTATAAATCGGTTTTAATGCAGGGATATACATTGAATACAATTATGTTTCTCAATATATAGCTTCCATTTGAGCTAAATCCAATGTGAGTTCTATCTGGAATAGATCCAATTAATATTAATGGGAGTTGTTAGTCAAAACGAACCTAAGTCTCCTTGATATCAATAGGAATAGTCCGTGCAGAATTACTGTTGGATTTAGTCCTTGCTAGTTGTACTGTAAGCTGTTAAGACCTCTTCAAAAAGCTATGGTTGTGTGATAATAATAGAAATGTACTTTGCTAAAGAGTTAACAAATATATATTGGAGAAATAGAAAAAATGTCTGTAGCTTGATAGATTGTAGCATGCTTAATTATATTCCGCAGCCTGTGAATTTGAATGGATAGTAATGAGTAGTTTCTAAGGAGGAATGTGGAAGTGATACTCTAGGCTTCCGAGAGTGCAGAGTTCCTGAATGGCTAATCTGCAGCTGCAAGTTTGATTGCATCCAATCTCCATGGGATACAAAGCTTGGAGTTTTCTCTTGTAATGATCAGAGGTTAATCCTTTTGAAAGCATCAAGAGAGGACCGTAGTTGAAGGATCTCAGGTAACAGGGAGCCCGTTAACTCTTCTCTTTCATGGTCTGTATGTTAGCACAAACACTGCTTTTATTCCTCTAAATAATATGAACACGGTGGGTGGCTCATTTGCCTTTCCTACTGCAAGATCCTTTCGACCTGGGAAATAAGATACTCATGCAAATATACACATTTTGAATACTGAATTCAAGCACAGCGAATGTAGAGAGTTAAGCTATTGTAATCATTTTGGTTTAAGCACTCTCGGAATTTGGAAGATTTGTTCTTCTTTTTAATGGCACACTGTCACTAGAAACAGTGCTTAAGACTCCTTTTAAATCTATTTTATTTCGAATGGGTTTTCTTTACCTGTTAAATGAATGGTACCTTCACTATAAACACCAGAGTGCCTAATGAGCTATACATTGGCCTTCCTTCTGAAACTTTGTGATTTACACATAGTAGGGTTAGCTGAAGACATTTTGATCTTTGAGGTGGAACAGAAAACATCACTTCATGGTTGACCAGGATGAAGACTATCCAGTTATTTTGGCATGCAAAGCCAAAAATCTGACAAGCAACTTCTCCATCTCCTGAAAAGGACAAAAAGCTACAAATACTCAACTATCCCACACTTCCTGGAGGCTTCCAGGAGTGGTGAAGGATCCACCAAGCACACATAGCAGGGGGGAAAAAATCATAACTAGAGATGGCTGTTTAGTTGCTTTCTGTTTTTACTTCCTATACATCCCCCAAACCATTCTCATTTTAAAAGGTTTTTAGCTATTTTCAGGCCTGATGCAAGCCATGGCAGGTTTTAGGATTGAACATTTGGCCCCCAGGTCTGCCAAAGATGCCCACCCCATAATAACAAAATAAATAACAATTTGCTGCTGTCATGATGTCTTGAATCTGCTTTCTCACACAATCCTGGTAGTCCTGGCAACCTCAGGTTTTGCTTAGTTATCCAAGTTAGCCCACATATACAGATGTTAACATCTGAGCAAGACAGAATTAAGTGCTTAAAGTTGATATTATAGTGAATGTTTACTGCTACTGTCATGTGAAAACAACTATAAATATTATTTTTGGTCTGATTTTTTTTACCTTCACACAATAAGCTGAATTCCATTGGCCAAAAGCCTGCAGCTTAGTGTAGTAAATTGTACTAGAGTAGACTCCTTGAATCTCCTTCGTGATTGCTGCCTTATATATGGGCTAACTTGTTAACATGCGCTGGATTATGGAGAAAGCCAGAGAGTTCCAGAAAAACATCTACTTCTGCTTCTTTGAATACGCAAAAGCATTTGACTGTGTGGACCACAGCAAACTATGGCAAGTCCTTAAAGAAATGGGGAGTACCTGACCACCTTATCTATCTCCTGAAAAAAATTATATGTGGGACAGCAAGCTGCATTTAGAACTGGATATGGAAGAACTGATTGGTTCAAAATTGGGAAAGGAGTACGACAAGGCTGTATATTGTCTTCCAGCTTATTCAACTTATATGCAAAATACATCATGCGAAAGGCTGGACTGGGGGAATCCCAAACTGGAATTAAGATTGCTGGAAGAAATATCAACAACCTCAGATATGCAGATGATCCCACTCTGATGGCAGAAAGTGAGGAGGAATGAAAGAACCTCTTAATGAGGGTGAAAGAGGAGAGCACCAAAAATGGTCTGAAGCTCAACATTAAAAAAACTAAGGTCATGGCCACCGGATCCATCACCTCCTGGCAAATAGAAGGGGAAGATATGGAGGCAGTGACAGACTTTACTTTCTTGGGCTCCATGATCACTGCAGATGATGACGGCAGCCATGAAATTAAAAGACGCCTGCCTCTTGAGAGGAAAGCAATGACAAACCTAGACAGCATCTTAAAAAGCAGAGACATCACCTTGCCAACAAAGGTCTGCATAGTCAAAACTGTGGTTTTTCCAGTAGTGATGTAAGGAAGTGAGAGCTGGACCACCGCCAAAGAATTGATGCTTTTGAATTGTGGTGCTGGAGGAGACTCTTGAGAGTCCCTTGGACTGCAAAGAGAACAAACCTATCAATTCTAAAGGAAATCAAACCTGAGTGCTCACTGGAAGGACAGATCCTGAAGCTGAGGCTCCAATACTTTGGCCATCTCATGAGAAGAGAAGACTCCCTGGAAAAGACCCTGAAGCTTGGAAAGTGTGAAGGCAAGAGGAGAAGAGGACGACAGAGGACGAGATGGATGGATAGTGTCACTGAAGCTGCCAACATGAATTTGACCCAGCTCCGGGAGGCAGTGGAAGACAGGAGGGCCTGGCGTGCTCTGGTCCATGGGGTCACAAAGAGTCAGACATGACTTAACGACTGAACAACAAAAGATTCCTTGAATCAACAGGGATTTGGTGAGTCAGCTCCTCTAAGTTCCATTGATTCAATTGGACATGATCTAACTGTGACTTTCTTTGGCATAGTAAGTTACAGCTAGAGTAGGCCCATTTGAATCAATAGAACTTATAGAGGATTTGACCCACTAATTTTGTTTTTCCTTAACTAGTTTTGGTGCTCAAAAAGTAACCTACATAGATACTTAACATTGCTCAACCTTTATTGTCAAACTTTATTGGATTTTTTTAGCATGTCACATTGGCTGTGACAAAAAGTGCTTCATACCAAAAATCAGAGATTTTCTACAATATTTTATACCTAGGATTCCTTTTACTTGTGGAAATAAAGCTGAAATGACAAAACACTTGCTACTTGGAGGGATTGCTCACTGCTGAGCAGATAAGAAGGTCTAAAATTATTTAGATCAACTTCCATGTAAATTCTGCAACAAAAATATGCCAGCCTGATGTGTTACCAAAAAAAGTTTAGATAAACATAGACATTCAGTATTTTAATTTGACAGAGCCCATTTTAGCGCTACCTTTGGCGTGTTGAAGAGCAATTGTGGTATGGTACTCCATTAATGATATGAGTCTGGAGGTCAGCATTAACATACGTTGTCTGAAATCTTGTTGCTTAGCGTAGTTAGCTGCAATTAGAATAGGCCCATTAAATCATTGGAACCTGACTCACCTATTGATTCAATGGGACCTGTTGATTCAGTGGACCTACTCTAGTTATGACTTACTATCCTAACCAACAGAATTTCAGCCATTCAAGTCTTAAGTGTATGGCCCTAGGATTTGTTTATTTATTTGATTTATATTACAGCTGTCTCCCAAAAGAACTGAAGTACTGTGCAGCTTATTCTGTATTTAAAAACCACGTGATTTAAAAAAAAACAACCACATAAATATTGAAATATAATTAAATCAGTTTTCATGTGAAAACCAAAATATGGTTAAAACCATTTAATACTTTGCCCTTAAAACTATTATCAGCCGAGATTGGGACTTGAGTTGTGGGACTTGCTATCAAGTTGGACTTAAGTCATACTAGGGACCTGACTTGGACTCAACTCGTGACTTGGAACTCACCCACCCCCTCTCTTTTTTTAATAGGGACTCAGCCTTAGGGCTTGGTACCGAAGACCCAGACTTGGGAGTCAGACCCAAAGACTAAGTAACATCCCTGTTGCAAACTAGCACCAGAAAAATCCTGATTTTATTGTCTTACAGTTTACATTGGGACTTTGAGTGGTTAGTGTTTTCTTGTGGAGCAGGGTTACTGAGCACTTGCAATCCTGGCAGAGAAAAGTCCCTTTTACTGCCAACAGCCACCACAACATAGTAATCCTGTGTGCTCTAATCTGTTTTCATCTGTACTTATTCTGAGTTTTTCAGTCTGGTTGCTTTAGCCACTAACTAGTTTTGTCATTGCCACTTCCCTTGTAAATCAGCTTGGCTCCAATCTGTGGGCGGAATGCTCAAAAGCAATCGTGCATACCACCCTGGCCGTTTCCCCACGATTGAAGTTGATCAAGGCTTTGATAGAGTTATGTGCAAAAGCAGCAAGAAATTCTCTGTGGATCCTTCAGTCTTCTGGGGCAGACCATCTTAATTGACCAGTCCCAGTAAATCAGAACTCAAAGTGATCAGTCTGTGGTAAAAGAACTTGAGAACATTCTTGCACACCCAGATGTCTTATCATCTCACCTGACACAAAACTCCAGCTCCATCGTATGTCCTGTTATATATGGGGGACCAGAAACAAACCAACTGAGGTATGCCCATTGGAGTCATTCTGACAAATTGAACTCAACATGGATGTTGAAGTCTCCAAGCATGATAAGCTGCAGGGACTCCAGCACCACAGCTCAGCTAGTTCTGGCACAGAGACTGTTGAGCAGCAGGTTGGGTAGTATGTCAACAGAATCCCTGCTCTCTCTCTCTCTGTCACCCAGCCTCAGAGACATTCAAAAGCAGTAGACCATGGTATGTGGTACCTGGAGAGAGGAATGGAATCATCATACACCGCTACAATTTGCTCCCTGCCCTGACTCCTCATGTATTGCTTGCTGCTGCCCTAAGAACTCTGATAGAGCTGAGAGAGGTGCCCACCCCACAACCTGGGGTTCGTCCATAGAGTTCTCAGTCCAGGGCAGATCTGTGTGTTCATCCAGGAGCAAAAGCTTGGACAGCAGTTCTGTTCCTGTTTATTGACCTGGCATTCAGCAACAGCATTTTGAACCAAGGGGGTCTGTTGCCTGGAATATCCAGGATGCTTGAAATGGGGAACAATTTGGGCGTGTCTTACATTCTCCTCTCATATAATGCCAAGGAATCTCTTGAATGTGTGCGCCAGGTCTCGGGGATCTCAGGCTCATGGTCCTGGAATTATGGCTCCGATACATACACCATCACCACCACTACTTCTCTCCCCCCCCCCGCCTTGGTTAACAGCCTACAGATAAAGATGTGTTTTCATTATTTACATATATGCAGGTATTGAATTTCTGAAGGGATTTCGAGTGATTCTTGAAGAATTAAAATCAGAAGGAAGACAGTGTCAACAATTGGTGTTAAAAGACCCAAAGCAGCTGAATACAAGTTATAAGTGGACTGTAAGTACAGAGCATTTGAGAAAGAATCTTTCTCTCTCGGTCCCCCCCCCCCTTTTTAAATCCTGTATAAAATGTTGACTTGTAGCGTTCTAAGCCCAAAATCCTACAAGTCAATATTGTGCAAGATGACCAGAATATGGAGGAACACTTACTAAAAAATCCCCTACTTTAGTTACAGTATTGCTGGAAAACTTACTATTTGCTCTTTGGGAACTTAGACTAATATGAAATTCCACGAACCTCTGTGGTTCTTGAGGAAACCAAGGAAAGAGCAACTGTTTTGACAGGTAGCTGCAGGAGTACTTTTTCTGTGTCAGGAGTTACAACAATAACGTTTCTCATTATGCTTCACATTAGAGTGATCTATGTAAGAACTTCTGTCTGTCAAACGGGAAGTATGTAAATAGATAGTTTAAATTCCCGATACCATACCAACAGAGATGGCAGGAGTTGCAAGAAATATAAATATTAAATGTTGTTGGGACAACAAAAAGATGATACTGAAAATTTTTGTACAACAGGTTGGGGGCCAGTTCAGCTTCTCACCTGGAGTAATTTGCACAGTTCAAGAACTCTTTACCAGGCAAAGGTAGCATAAACCAAAGGTCAAGATTTTTCTTTCCTGGCAGTCTGGCTTCTTAAGACAAGGGCATTACATCTGGCCTAATTTTTGAACTATTTGTCTTAAACTTTAATTTCTGTACTGACTTTTCCTGATGAATAAAAACAGGGAAAACTGAAGACTTAGAAACTCTTTGTATCTATAGCTTTTTAGTTAATTGCAAGTGGTATGGGTGAGGGGTCCCTTTTGATGCCACTGTAGTCTGGGCTTAGGGCAGAAAAATACCTAGTGCTGAAAATGGTCATAGAGAAGATGTTGAACTATAGTACTGACCAGCTCAATGTTCTCTCCTTTCAGGGAGTAGAATCACAATCTTTTCTAAATCTGAAGTTTGAAACGGACTACTTTGTCAAAGTTGTCCCCTTTCCATCAATTAAGAATGAAAGTAATTACCATCCCTTTTTCTTCAGAACTCGGCGTAAGTACAAGAGCAGTTATTGCTTTCTGCTGTTTATAGATGTCTGCTTTTGCTTCTTTGAAGAAAGCAGGTAGTATATGAAACTGTATATATTTCAAGTTGAAATCAGAGTTTGGGGAGATTGTGTTTTAGCAGCAGCTTCTTGAAACTTCCTTGCCGGCAGGTGTATTCTGATAGAGTAGTTTTTCAAAATCTATATTAATATATATTTCTAACTGAAATGGATTTAGAAGGCTCAGGAATATGACATTGTTGGGGATTACAATCCACAATACTAGAGCCTTTTGGAAAGTTTTAATAGATTAGTCTGACTTTGATAATGAATTCATGTAACAGCACTGTGTGTATGCTTTTGTTATCATGATTGCTATTGCTCTTTTGAATCTGAAAGACCATTCAGATTGTTAGTTTACTCTCTGCGTTTGTGTACACATACTGGAATTCAAGGACAAATCTTGTGCTTCTGTAGCGCACCACATAAAGCTCCTCTACAGCTCAGGATCCTGTTTATATGGCCTTTCAACTCCATTGTTCTTTTTCATGTGAGTGAGTGGTTTGGGGAGCTGTTTGTGAGGCTCTAGTTCACATTAAAGGTCCTGGGTATAGTAGGAGAAGTATTGCCCCTTTGGGTCTACATTTTACATGCTGTTTGGGCCATCTACTGGACTAAGTAAAAATGCAAATGACAGAGCAGTCATGTGAGAACGGCAGTGGTCATGTGAGTAACTCTTTGGCATCAATCTGTCCTCTTGTAGCTTCTCATTTAGTTTGTAGCTGAGGCCATGTAGCATACTGGGCTAAGGATGTTCCTGCATTTTGTTTAGGCCAAGTAACAATAAAGCCCTATAGTTGTATTCGATTTATCTGTAGGGATGCAGTGCCTATTCCAAGAACTCTGGGCTAATAACATTTGGCCGTTCCGTGACTACTGTATAAGCCTGGGCCTGTGAAACATTCTTCATTTTTGAATGCCAGATTTTTGTAACAAAGTAAGATATTTCTAAAATACAAGATTTTAACCTTTTTAAAAATGTGCATATCTTTTCTTTGCTAGCTTGTGAATTGCTGTTACAACCAGAAAACCTAGCCTGCAAACCTTGTAAGTAGATGTGTTTGTTCACTTTTGCCCATATCCAGATTACACACAAAAGAGAAAATGAATGACATTGTTGGAATAGCATTTAATCCCATGTTTTTGTTTCTGTTCCTTGATAGTTTGGAAGCCAAGGAATCTGAATGTTACACAGCAGGGATTTAACATGCATGTATCTTTTGACCATGCGCCACACAATTTTGGATTTAAATATTATTATCTGCATTACAAACTGAAAAATGAAGGACACTTCAAACAAAAGACTTGCAAACAGGTTTGTTGATTATAATTCACAGCACTATATACATGGAATATATTGCAGAAGGCTTGCAGAAGGCAAACAGTGTAATTTACACCTGCTTCTTACTGCTAGTTAACTTATTCCTGATTTTCAGGCCTGGGGATTTAGTAATCAGCAGTGAGAAGCTGCTGAGAGTTACGCTGTTTGCTTTCCATAGGCATAAATATGCAGAAAGACTTTGGCTGTTTATGAGTTAACATCTATGTGCCGGTAAACCTCATTTCTAGGAGGCATAGGGCACAATCACACTGGAGTGATGCTGGCTGAGGATAGGCTTTAGGAAATCTTCTTAATCCTAATAGGATTTGGTAGACATTCTCTATATAAGTGGAATGCCAGATCCACTAACACCATTAAGATATATTATTTCAAGCATTTGCCAGCAGAGCTGTTTCACCTGGTGAGGATGGCACTGGGGGAATACACTTAGAGTAGACTCTAAACCTCTTCAAGTTTAGACTCTAAACCTCTTCAGGCCATTCTTTCAATCAGATGGCACATTACACCAGGTCTGGTACACAGTATAATTAAATATATAATACACTACTCAATATAATATAATCCTCAGTAGGATTGGCATAGTTTCTAGGGATGTTTTGGGTGTGTCTTGTCCTTTTTTCTTTTTAAAAAACAGTTTATGTGTTTTTCTAGTTCTTCTTTACCATCTCCTCTTCTGTGCTGATCACGTCTTAGACACAAATGACATTTTGCCAGCTTAACGCTGATACATCTCCAGTACTGGTATAATGCAGATACACAATGGCTTTGCCCATTGTTTATGTTTAAAGAAGATGTGCTCTTGCACAATAGGTATTGTGCTGCAAAGCACAATAGGAGCTTTGAGTTCCTACATAGGAAAACTGATTAAGAAGAATACATGCCAGAGCACTTTCACTCCCCAGTGACGTTCAGCAAGAGATTCAAGCAGTAGAGATGGGCATGAATAAAAAAAAACAAATTGGAAAATTCATGAAAAACTGCTAATTTGTCAGTTTGTATTCATCAGTAGTGATGCCCCCTGTTGAATTGAAACCCACAATATTTTTGTGATTTTGAGTCGTTGAGTTCTCTCAAAAATTATTTTAAATTTTTTAAAAAAAAAATTTTTTAGAGGCACCCCAGCCACCACTGGCTTCCCACTGGCCTCCGTCACTTCCCTACCTTTAGCTGCTGTTGAAGCCATTTTGAAAGGCAGCCCGGCTTCTGCAAGCCACCAGCCTCGGTGCATGCTTGTGCACATATGGTGGCTTCTCTCAGCTGAGAAGCCGGCGTATGTGCACAAGCAGCCTGGCCAGATGACAGGCCAGCTGCACAACCACCACCACCACCCACCCTATCACCACAAAAATGGCAATCTTATAAAATCACTATCAAGTGATAAAAAAATTATAAATACCTTGAAATACTAGAAGCAGATAACATCATGCACAAAAGTTAAGAACTGACAGAAAGAGAATATATCAAAAGACTGCAGAAAGTCTAAAAATCAAAATTAAATGGTGGAAATACAATCAAAGCCATAAAGAAGTGGGCAGTTCCAGTAATTATACATCCAGCTGGAATAATAGATTGGACTCAAAATGAATTAGAAGAATTGGGTTGACAAACATGGAAACTAATGAACATGCATCACGCACTACATCCAAAAGGTAATGTGGGCAGATCATTTTCATGCCCTCGGTAAGCGAGGGCAGGGCGCGAAAATGTGGCGCGGACCTTCCGGCGGCCATTTTGGAACCGCCGATCAGCTGTTCTCCCCCCGCTTCGCTATGCGAGTTTCGTTAAGCAAACCGCTCAGCGAACATCGCACAGCGAAAGAACCCCATAGGGGCCATCGCTGAGCGAATGCTCCAGAGATTGCCCGGACCCCCTCACTAAGCAAATTCATCGCTCAACAGAGCGATCGCTAAGCGAGGCACCACTGTATATCAAAAGACTGCAGAAAGTCTAAAAATCAAAATTAAATGGTGGAAATACAATCAAAGCCATAAAGAAGTGGGCAGTTCCAGTAATTATATATCCAGCTGGAATAATAGATTGGACTCAAAATGAATTAGAAGAATTGTGTTGACAAACATGGAAACTAATGAACATGCATCACGCACTACATCCAAAAGGTAATGTGGGCAGATTATATTTACCGTGAAAAACTGCAGACTGTGGATTACTGCAAATACAGCAGGTATTAGAGGAGGAAAAAAGAAGCCTAAATGATTATATCAGTGCAAGCAGAGAAAAATTACTGAAAGCAGTGAAAATGGAGAATATTTTGAAAACAACAGAAACAAAGGCTCAATATAGGAAACAACAATTTGAAAAGAAATTAAACAGCTGGGAAAAAAAGCCATTACATGGACAACACTTGTTAATATTGATGGAAAGTGTAATAATAATTCAACATGGGCATGGCTAAAACTGGGGACCATTGAGAAAGAAACTGAAGGCTTGATCTTTGCTGCACAAGAACAAGTGCTCTAAACCAATGTGATTAAAGCTAATGTCCAAGGAATTAGTGCTAACAGCCAATTTCAATTCTGGCAAGAAAAAGATTTAACTGTGTTTCACCTCATCTGTAAATGTCCGAAGACTGCACAGATTACAACATTAGATATAATAGAGTGCCAAAATTAGTGCACTGGTCATTATGCAAAACAAAACAAAACAAAACAAAACAAAAAAAGAATTTGCCAGCCTCCAAAAACCCATGGGAACATCAGGTAGATAATGTGTCAGAAAAGGAGGAAGTTAAGATCTTGTGGGATTTCTGGATCCAAACCAATAGACTCCTTGAACATAGCATACCAAACATACAGTGGTGCCCCGCTTGATGATTACCTCGTTAGACGAGGAAATCACTTAACAATGAAGTTTTTGCGATCGCAAAATGATGTTTTAATAGGGAAAAATCGTTTCACGATGATCGGTTCCCTGCTTCGGGAACCAATTTTTCGCTTAGTGACGATCAAAACAGCTCATCGGCAGGCTTTCTGAATGAGGCAACTCGCAACTGTAGCTGTTATCCAGAAGAGTGAAGCCTCCGGGGTCTGGGATCAGCTGCCCAGTGTTGCTTATTTTTCTGCTATATGAAGCTGCCATGGTCCTGAGTCTTATCAGCTGAGAGAGCAACATGCTCAGTAAGAAGTTCCTGTCGTCCAAAGTATGCCCTTTTCTTGCTGTAAAGATCTGATTGCTACTGTGAAAGGTAGGTGAAGATCCTGGCACCTTGAGAGGAAACCTTACCCAGGAGAAAAATGTGAGACTCTTGCCTTTCACAGAGCATGTGGGAGCTGGCAGCAGCAGAAAAGGGTAGGAAGGCAAGGGGGGGCAGTGGGAAAGGGGACAGGCTATGAGCGAGGCTGCAGCGAGGCAGCCAAGTTTTTTTGTTTTGTTTTGAAAGAGCCACTGGGCTATCTTAAAAAATCCTGAATAAACCAATTGGTGGTTTCTTTGGCGGAAAAAGTCGTAAACTTGTGGTTCAAGGACTTCCATGAACCGAGACGAACCACTGTTTTGGTGGATCGTGCCCATTTCTAATAAGCAGGTACTTAACTTGTTGAAATCAATGAGATTTGAAAGCATTTCAGTTTGAGTGGATCCTGCCCAGTATGTAAAAATGTGAACTGATTTTGCATCAGTCCATGCCAAAACAAAAGGAATCATAATACAGTGGTGCCTCGCTTAACGATTGCCCCGCATTATGACGAAATCGCTGTATGACGATCTTTTTGCGATTGCAATTGCGATGGTCTAAATAGTGTTTTTTCACTTTGTGATGATTGGTTCCCTGCTTCGGGAACCGATTCTTCGCAAAATGATTTTTTTAACAGCTGATTGGCGGTTTCAAAATGGTCATCGGGTGCTTAAAATGGTTCCCCGCTGTGTTTAGGGACAGATTCCTCACTATACAGGCAGCGAAAATGGCTGCCGTATGGAGGATCTTCGCTGGACGGTGAGTTTTTACCCCATTGGAACACATCGAACAGGTTTCAATGCGTTTCAATGGGGTTTTTAATTTCGTTTTATGATGTTTTTGCTTAACGGCGATTTTCCTGGAACTGATTATCGTTATTAAGCGAGGCACCACTGTATTTATTTTACATTGATCCTTGTATTTGTATGCTGTACAATAATATAGTATTTATGCTTTAGAGTGCTTGGACATGCACATATAGCTGCCTACTGATCACATATCAATTCTTTATGTATACACAGTATTTTTCAGATGATGCCACGACTTCTACTGCATCCCCTCTTTCTTTCTTTCTTTCTTTCTTTCTTTCTTTCTTTCTTTCTTTCTTTCTTTCTTTCTTTCTTTCTTTCTTTCTTTCTTTCTTTCTTTCTTTCTTTCTTTCTTTCTTTCTTTTTGTATCAGGGAACAATAAGCAGTGTTGGTGTAAGAGTGCTGCAAAGTTACAGAGCCTTCTATGGAATACTAATGTGATGTTTTCATCACAGGCCATAAGACGCTGTGCAGTTCTCATTTCCTTGGGTTAAATGCTGATAGCTTTTAACCGTATGCATTCATTCTTGGAATCTGCTCCCTTGAGGCTACCAGATATGCTTGGCTCCAGTCCAGTAGAGCCGGTCTGGTATTGGCTGTGAAAAGGCAGGGAGAGCAGGGGAGACCTTCTGCACCTATGTTCAGACTGGGCTTTGGATTATAGTTCTTAATTTGTTTTTCCTATGATTACTCTGCAACATTATTAGACTAAGGGCCCTGAAGTCTTTGAGCTTAATAATCACATTCTGGGTTTGCATTTATCTGCATTAGATGAATTTCAGACACTTGGGAAACACTATGAATTTCCTCACTGGCAGGCTTTTCTAATGCTGAGTGAGCTTTCGGGTAGTATTCAAAAGCATATGAATGACTTATTAAAAATAATTGCTTTTGTGTCTTCTTAGGAAAAAAATACAGATGTCACAAGCTGTATTCTTCAGAATGTCTCACCAGGAGATTATATAATTGAGGTAATGTAATTATTTGTAGTTTCAAAAATTGGCATTGACAGAAATTGCTTTCCTTGTAAGATTAAAGGAATCAGTGTTCGCTATGTGCTTTGAAGTTTGGGAGTGCATTTAGACAATGCTGTCTCTTTGCATGACAGCCGTGGTGAAAATGTTCTATCACCTGTTTAAAGAAATGGGGTTGGGGCCGGGCAGTCCAAGCAGACAAAAAGTGTAATCAAGCACTCCTGACAATATTCAAGAGCAAAGTCTGATACTTTGATGTGCAGTTTACATGGTTGTTTGCTTTATGTGAAGACTAACATTATTCGAGGTTGGAATCCTGATGTGCTTTTGAAAAGAGCAGAATGTATGTTATGGATCAACGTATATGAAACTTTAGACATTTTTAGAACATTTATTTTAGTCCTCACTCACTCACTGAACCCTAATTTTCAGTTGTATTAAGTGTCTTTGCTTAAAAGGTGATTTGCAGCTCATTTAGCAAATCAGCTTTATTTTAAAAGCATTATCTGAAATCCTGTTCATGGTGTAAGCCCAAAGGTAGTTTTCCTTCTATTCCTTCCTGGTACAGTAAGCAAAGTGCCACTGCTGCAATACCCAGGCACACACTGGCTTAGTATGTCTGCATACTAAAAATCACTTCACCAGTGAGAAATGGACAGAAGATTATGCTGGGGTTAGGCTACAAACAAGATTTGAGCTATTGTGTGTGAGGACATACTCTGGCCTCTGAAATCACACATACAGAATTTGTTTTGTGCCTGCTTGAACATCCTCAGATTCTTCTAGAACCTACAGAAGTGTTAGGATACGCCCCCTCCGCCATGCAAGCTCCCCACCGTGAGGGTATTCCTCCGTTCTTTTTTTGCCTCCACTAAGATAACACCTCCAGAATTGTTCTAGAACCTGATGCGTTAATGGCTGGTGGACCTGTTCAAAAAGCTGTAGCAATAAAATCCCCCTCACTGATGGACGTTGAAAGTCTTTATATTGCTCTGATGGGGAGCACCAACCAGAAAACTTATCAGTTCTGAAAAAAGTTCATGAAAATACGCATCAGGAATTGTCAATCCTGCTTAAAGTTTTATTTGTAGGAAAAGTCCCTACAGGCCATTCTCCGAAGAGTTCAATTTCAAGGCAGCAACCTGGTTGCAGTGTTGATGTTCATCAGACATTATAGGTTGGACATCAGGGCTGAATTTGATGTATGGAAGTGAGAGCTGGACCATAAAGAAGGCTGAACATTGAAGAATTGATGCTTTTGAATTGTGGTGCTGGAGGAGGCTCTTGAGAGTCCCCTGGACTGCAAGGAAATCAAACCTATCCGTTCTGAAGGAAATCAACCCTGAATGCTCACTGGAAGGACAGATCCTGAAGCTGAGGCTCCAATATTTTGGCCATCTGATGGGAAGAGAAGACTCCCTGGAAAAGACCCTGATGTTGGAAAGTGTGAGGGCGAGAGGAGAAGGGGACGACAGAGGATGAGATGGTTGAACAATGTCATCAAAGCTACCAGAATGAACTTGACTAGACTCCGGGAGGCAGTGGACGACAGGAGGGCCTGGCGTGCTCTGGTCCATGGGGTCACGAAGAGTCGGACACGACTAAATGACTAAACAACAACAACAAAGCATAAAATGATTGTGCTAACTTATTATTTAGACAATCTCTGTGGTGTGCCATCAGACATTATAGTTTGGACATCAGGGCTGAGCTTGATGCTGCATTTGGTAGAGCAGTGATCTTCTCTGTATTAGCATATCATACCAGCTAGTAAATGTTTGCCACTCACCCACGTATGTGATTTCACAGAGACCATTAAGAAAGAAGACAGGTTGCTTACCTGTAACTGTAGTTAATTGAGTGGTCACCTGTGAATTGACATAACTCACCCACCCATCCCTCAGTCTGCCATGCAACTCCTATTGTGTTGGGGGTCTGCAGCACACAGACATCACTGAGGATTACCCTCAGAGGTGGGGAGAATTCATGATGGAAAGGTTGTGTCCTAAACACTTCTTTGGGCTCTAGAAGTTTCTAAAAATGTTCACACAGGCACAGAATAAACCTTATATGTGTGAATTCACAGATGATCACCCGAAGAAGTACAGTTATGGGTAAGCAATTTGTCCTTCATGCAAGCAAGTCATCACTTGATTCTGCAGTTATCAGATGATATAGCATTTATGAACCAGTGCATAAATGCTTCCCAACCTCATCCTTGAAGAAGCTTAGCTACTTAGCACTTCTTTTGCTTTTATACTATACTATGTATTTATTCTATGTATTTATCTCTGTCTAATCGGGTCTATGACCACATAATAAAACTTTTACTTATTGCTTACTTTACTTACTTTTGCTTTTCTCTAAAAGAGAGAGCGAGGGAAGGAGGGAGAGCAAGCACAAGATGCATTGTGGAACTTCTGTTAACATTAGAGTGAAAGCAACAAGTCATTTGGAGTGGATTTTTTGAGCAGTTCTAATGGCAGCAGAGGGAGAGGCAAGAGAACAAGGGTTTTAGATTTAAATAGTATGTTGGATTTGGGCCATTGTCATGTACCTTTTAAAATAAGATCTGTTCTGTTAATCTTTTAATAGCTGGTTGACGATACCAATACAACAAGGAAAACAATGCACTACGCATTAAAACCAGGTACTGTACTTTTGTTCTTGTTGTTCTTCTGTTACTTTGTCATTTCTTCTGAAATCGCTTCTTAAGATTTACAAGAATGGCCCAGGTAGGTTAAAAAATGACAAAGGGTTATTGGTCAACTCTTAAACCTCTTAAAATAACAAGTAGAGAGGAGGAGAACGTACATGTCCAGACTTTGATTACTCCAGTTCCTTTTGGTGCCCTATAGCATTGCCAAAAAGAAGGGGTGCAGAATTTATATAAACACAGTGAATGTAAAAACTTCTAGTTTGCCTGGATTGAAAGTGTGTTCTGTGAAGCTTTTATAGTAATTGTAATAAATAATTGCTGGAAAGTTGTGTAATCTTGACATCTAAATTATATAAAAATAGGAGAATGGCAGTCTGTATTTCTGAAACATATAGTGCAGTAGACTAAACTGAACCATAAACAATGTAATGGGTATATTATATAATTTAGCGATATAACAAGAACCATTTAGTTATTGATGTGTCTGTCAGCAAAGATACTAACTAGAAGATGTGATTGTTTCAGTGTCTGCTGGAGCAGAGTTTGTTTGTTGGTTCACTGGTTGGTTGGTTGATTGATTCATTGATTCATTCATGCATTCTTTGTTGCTCTCCCTTTTCATAGTGCATTCCCCATGGGCAGGGCCAATAAGGGCAATAGCCATTACTGTTCCCTTGGTTGTCATCTCAGCGTTTGCAACACTTTTTACCGTGATGTGTCGCAAGAAACAACAAGGTATGTAATTTTTTTAGAGGATACTTTTTTAAGAGTAGGGCTATAACATCAAGGGAAATTGATTTGTTCGGAATCTGGATTCTGTTGTCTGAAGTTCATGCCTTTAAACCCTTCCGCACATGGAATCTCCAGCTTAAATGTAAGCCTATATTGAAGCTAACTTGTCTCTGCTCAGCAGATTCCAGCGAACCCTTGGGAGCACAAGGCTGCAGTGTATCAAGCAATCAATGACATTGCTTGTGATCATACCCCTGGGGAGCAGCCACATATTCATAGTGGCCTAAGAACTGCATCAGCTGTTCTTATCCACCTGAACAAAATTGATGTCTTTTTGCATATTTATCATGCTGATTGCTAGAGATGGGTCTTTCAGGTTAACAGACACAGAGAAAAACATGAAAGAAATGTTGACTTTGGTTTCTCAGGTTCTTTCATTGATTCCAGAAAGAGCACTGCTTAAACCCAAGTGTTTCATATTAACAAAAGAGCATGTAAGCTTCTGATTCTATTGTGTTTCCCGCTTTCATTTGCCCTTTCCTTTACCTCGTCTGAGGAATAACCTAGGAAATGTTTCATCAAATAGTGTTGCAAGAGCTGCTGTGAGCAGACAATCAGAATGTTCAGTAGACAAGGAGAGATACTTTTCAGTTGTAGAAGGGCCTGGATTGGTTGGAACCTGGTAATAAATGCTCTTTGCTTCAGTCCTTCCTTGTGCGCAGGATCTTTGTGATGCTACGGCCATGGTGCCATCTAATTTGATTGTACTATTTCTTTGTGTCTACGGATAATTTCTGCCCTTTTTTTCTAGAAAGGGCAGCCTGTCTGTGATGCCAGTGTGTCAATTTGGGATTTAAAAATGCCCCCCCCCCCAATTTCATGGGGATTTCTCTTGCTTTTTTCCCCTTTCATTCCTTTCTTGCATTTTTTTTTTTTGCTTACTGCTGGTGTTGGACTCAAGAAAGAGAAGAGAATATATCACTAGATGCACACCTTAATGTAGTGACGGGGTTTGGGTGTGTCAATGAAGCTGAGAGCAGTAACATTAGGAGGCCAGACTCCATTATGAGTCTGGACATCTAGCAGAGTCACCCAAGGTAGAACGATCACAGCTGAGACACCAGACTAAGACACATCCATTCTCATCAAGGCAGCTGCTGGGCAGCAGTGATAGCCAATGGCAACACCAGTGGAGGATGCAATAGTGGTGGCACTCAAGCTAACTTTTTGTTACTGCTGTGTAGAAGGTGGTAATGGTAAACCCCTGCAGAACTTTCCTTACCGTAAAAACTCTATGACAAGAAAGTCCAAATTGAAAAAATGTGCTGAAAAATGAGACTCCCAGGTCAGAAAGTAGTCAGTCAGCTACTGGGGGACAGTACAAATGAACAGTACAAATAGCTATGCCACTAGCAACACAATTAGATTAAAGCCAAAGGGATGGCTAGTGGCTGTCATGCACAGATGCAGAACTTTCCTTACCGTAAAAACTCTATGACAAGAAAGTCCAAATTGAAAAAATGTGCTGAAAAATGAGACTCCCAGGTCAGAAAGTAGTCAGTCAGCTACTGGGGGACAGTACAAATGAACAGTACAAATAGCTATGCCACTAGCAACACAACTAGATTAAAGCCAAAGGGATGTCTAGTGGCTGTCATGCACAGATATGAAAGGAAAATCCAGTGCTGCACAACACTTGTAATTAGAACATGGAAAGTGAGAAGTATGAATCAAGCTGAAATGGAAACTAAGGAAAGAAATAGAGTGTATAAACATTGCGGTGTGTGGTGTCAGTGAACTAAAGTGGATTGGAACAAGATATTTTCAGTCACACAACTACAAAGTGATCAGATGAAGGAGGAGTGAAAATTGGTGAGGGAAAAAATCATTAATTTAAGATATGCAGATAATACCAGATGAAGGAGGAGTGAAAATTGGTGAGGAAAAAAATCAATAATTTAAGATATGCAGATAATATCCTCTCACTGGCAGAAAGCAGGAATGGCTTGAAACAACTTTTGGGGGAGTGAAAGAAGAAAGCACCAAAGCAGGACTGCAGTTGAACATTAAGAAGGCAAAAATCATGATTACAGAAGAACTACATCACTTTAACATGAACAGTGAAGAAATTGAGATTGTATACCATTGTTCAATCTTCTATCCAATATAGAGACTGCAGCAAAAAAAGGTCAAAAGACTGCAACTTGAAAGGCCAGCAATGAAGAAATTAGAAAATATCATTAGGTATAAGGATGTGTCACTAGAGATCAGAGTCAAGATAATCTACACCTGGGGGCCCTGACATATTTGAAGGGGCCCACAGACTGGAAACAATTCTTCACACACTATAAGGTTTATTATGCGACTTATACAATCCTGATTTAGCCTATATTTCTTTCATACTATGTTTATGGCCATCTCCCCCCCCCCAAAAGGTTGAGAATGGCTGATCTACAAATGAAAAAATTGATTTGTTTGAAGTGTAGTGCTGGAAAGCTTTGTGGATACCCCCTAGACCACTGGGTCTTAACCTTTGTTACTCAGATGTTTTTGGACTGCAACTCCCAGAAGCCTTCACCATCAGCTCTGCTGGCTGAGGTTTCTGGGAGTTGCAGTTCAAAAACACCTGAGTAACAAAGGTTAGAAACCACTGCCCTAGACTGCCAAGATGAACAAGTGGATCTTAAAGCAAAATCAAGCCTGAACTGAAGCTGGCCTACTTTGGGCACATTACAAGAAGGCAATATTCTCTGAAAAAGACAATAATGCTGGGAAAGGTTGAAGACAACAGGAAAAGAGGAAGACCTAAATATGAGATGGATTGGCTGCCTAAAGGAATCCATAGGCCTGAGTTTACAACAACTGAGCAGGGTTCTTGAGGACAGACATTTCAGAGATCATTTATTCACAGAGAAGCCATAAGTCAGAGGTGACTTGACAGCATGTAACAACAACCACAACAGGGCAGAGAGAAATGTTATATTCTAGTTGTTACAGTTTGAGCGGGCCTTTAACTGTTGTTGTTTTAACTAATTCTCTTGCCTGCCTTGCCCCTGCTTTTTGTAGTAGTGTAAGGGTTCTTTTAGGGTTTTAGAATAATGCCAGACAGAACACAAACAGGAAAAAAAATGAAATGAAAGAAACATTCCATTTTCTAGTGAAAGACCTGAAAATGAATGAGGAACTCCTTCAAAAGAACCAAAAATGAACAAAAAACTCCATCTGTACTAATTGCTTGCCCTGACCAATGCTAAATGCTAGAACTTGAAAAGCTTATGTTTTTGGACTGTAGGACTCCACAATCAGCCAGCCAGTATGTCTACAGAGAGCAGACTTGTTATTTGAGTGGCCTTCTAGCGACTGAGTGGCTGCAGAGGCAAGGATTTTAATGGCATATGGTGTAGTTTTGACTTCAGTTTTTTTTCCTGATGTGTTTTTCATCTGTTATAGTTCACCTGTTGTTCTAATCATCATCATCTTTCCTGTTAGGACACCCAAAATGTTTTGCTTGAGACAGCTACCTCACTTTGCTGAGTGACAGGGCTGGCCCAGTCCTCTCTGCTCATGAGAATGCATACCCATGTTTGAGTAATTTGAACTGCTTAGGCAGTAGGCATTCATCTAACCCATAAGTGGTAGTTATTTCAGCAATTCTAAATGCCCAAAGTGCATTTTGTCTTTCAGTATTTGAGAGTGAAAGGAAATCCAGAATGTTTTTGGAATAAGGGCAAAATAGACAGACTACGGTACATTGTTTACAAGTTTGGGGGGGGGGGCGCTGATATGTATGTAGATAGTAAAATACTTCACTTTCAATTTTTTTGTTTCAATTTAGAAAATATCTATTCCCATTTAGATGAGGAGAGTTCAGAGTCTTCAACCTACTCTTCGGCTCTCCATGTGGAAAGGCAAAGGCCTCGCCCCAAAGTGTTCATCTGCTATTCCAATAAAGACTGTCAGAAGCACATTAATGTCATCCAGTGCTTTGCTTATTTTCTTCAGGACTTCTGTGGCTGTGAGGTAAAATTTTTCTAATGGTTGACACTGCTTTGTGCTTGTCCAAGTGTGTACAGAAACATGCAAATTATACGTATACACATAACCTTCTGACGAATATTTAAAATTCCCTACCCATGGAAGAGGAACACATACATTTAGCGAATGTTATTTTTTTAACATTTTGGAATCTATTTTCCCTCAAAATGTTCTTTGTTCATTCCATCTTTTTTTCTAAAAAAAATTCAAAATAAGTAAAAATGTGCATTTCAAATAGCTAGATTTAGTGAAGTCAAAATGAGAAAATATTAGCTTGCAAGATTTATTCATACTTCATTGTTCAGGGCTAATCCTGTCTCTGTGAGGTTTGAAATTAATTGGTATTTGTATTATTTAAATGTTGGTTTTTGAGGGTGTTTTTGTTCTTATATTTGTGCAAAGAGATCCATACAGCACGTCTGACCTCTAGTGGACAAATCTTTGTATAAGAAATTGCCAGCATTATTCTCCTTCAGTTACTTTTAAAAGAGATTACTGTAGCACATGGGTGAGCAATTAATTTCTCTAGGGGACCACATGAAAAATCTGAACTGTGTTCGGGGGCTGAACCATCTTTACTTAAAAATAAAATGAAACAGTGATGTTATGATTGTTTTATTTTAAACTTGTTAATCTTCACAAATACTAAAGAGTTTTTTGCGGTATGTTAAAGATAAGCAACTGATCAACTTTAGACAAAAAGCTATAAATGGTTTTGATGTTCAACTTGTTCAGTGAGAGAAATCCAGTCTGTCTTGGGCTTGAACAAGTGCTTGACTGGAGAGACGACCGGCGGGTCAGACAGGAGCAGCTCGTGAGCTGTATGTGGCTCGTGGTGCGCACTTTGCCCAGGTCTGCTGTAGCATCTAGTTTGTTTACAAGGAACATATTAATGCTAGAAATGGTTTATCTTCAGTCAGTCAGATCCACAGGGCTTCTGTGAAGTATTCATTTCAGTATTTCTCTTTGCAGCCATTTTTGACACAGAAATGAATGTTGGGCACTTAGTCAAATAGGATTAACTCTGTGTGCATTAGAGTTTATGGAGACATTAGGAAGAGGCTGTTACTACTTGAGTAAACTGTATTTTTTCCTATGTTCTTGTTGGTTCAGTCTCTGGTGAAATAAGTCAGCCTCACAATTGATAGCTCACCTGGAGCAAGCAGTAATTTCACCCTTCCCAGCCCTGAATTTAAAACTCTCAGCTGATTAGCTGTCTCAGGACGGTGTGGTTTTACAGAGTCATTGGATTGTGATTTGCATCCATGCTAGTCTGCATAGCCAATAATGAAGGATGATAGGACCTGTAGTCCATTAGCATGTGGAGTAACACTGTTTTTGTCCACTTCTGATCTGATCTAATAGTCACTCAAACGAGAGAGCCTGGGCTGCTTGCTGTCATTTTAGAGGGCAGTCCCTCATTTTTCTTTTTCCATGAGCTACTACTTTGACAGCACAATCTAACATGGTACACTTCTCTTCACCAAAAAATTGGAAACAAAACACAGCTAAGGGAGAAAGGGCTGGACATCAAGCACTAGGATGAGTTCCGCCTCTGTAAGGTGTTCAAGTCCTTTGTTTAGGATAAAATGAACCAGGAATTTGTACACTTACCATTAAACTGCCCATTAAAATTTTAAAGTACTGTGCATTGAGAAGGCAGATCGTTATGCGAGGCACCACTGTACTGTGCATTGAGAAGGCATTTTGAAGATAAACCTCAAAAGCTGTTGAAAGTGAAATGTTAGATCTTCACTAAAGTTATTTCAAATATTAGATAAATATACGGACTATTAATCGCAATAGAGACCAAGATGCTAGTGCCGTTCCTTGTATAAAGCGTATACAGTGTTTGAGATCCAGGGCTTACTTATTTTAATCTATAGAATTATCTTGGGAATCAGTTTTATGGATGAAAAATATTTCTGTCAGAATGAGTGTTCTATGGTAACATGTACAAAGTGATGCCTGGAAGCTCAGCAAATCCTGTCTAAGTATCTTTTCAAGTAATTTTGTTCATTGGCTTGAGTTACACATCCAAGGAGATGTTTAAATTGTATGGGAAATTCTGAAGCTGTAAAAATCACTTTGGACATGCTAATTTGTGTAGCTAAGGCTTCTTGTACTCAACCTCTACATGTTTGCAGTATTACCTTGAATCACAGATAGTAATGGGAACATCAGACTCTTATCAGCTTATGGATATGAGTTTTGAAGGAACATTACTTAGCAGTGAAAAGTAGGTAGGTAACATTACAGCTGCTTTATTCAACTGCTTTACTGGAGTCTGACGATGTCAGTCTGTGACATCCTCAGACTCCATATTGCATGAAGAGTCAGTCTCTTCATGCAATATGGTCATTTAGTACCTATTTCTTTTCTTTTTTCTTTTTGGTTAGGTATGAATCACTATTATGATTCCTTATTGCAATTAAATGGATTCTTATTCTTAGCAAATATTCCTTTCTGCTACAGATTTTATAACATACAGGAACAGATTTGGTAAATATTAGGGCAGTTCATCTATAACAGTTGTTTGCATATGATGTCCTTACACCACCTATATGAGGCCATGGCCACCCACCTGACACTCTCACGGGAGCTTATCTTGATGTGTGAAGTGGCTGAAATCTTGTCCTGAATTCAGTCAATAGTCCCAGCTGGAGTAGACTCATTAAATCAATGGCTTGATAAGCCAACAAATAAGTTCTATTTATTCAGTGGATCTATTTTAGTTGGGACTAGCTATGGGCTTTAGGCCATTATCAGCACAAATGTCTATTACTGTTAAATCAGTACTGCTTTGATCAAGAATCATCTCAATCCATGACATGCCCTGAGGCAAACCTATAAAGAACACTTACTCACCAGTGCATCTATGCATACCTGCATGTATACGCACATACAGTACTCATTATTGAGAATACATAAAATGGATTGGCTGTTGAATGTGAGTCTGTTTGATTATGGTTGTAATCTCTACTTCCTTCTTCCAGGTTTCTTTAGATTTATGGGAAGATCTGAGGATTTCTAAAGAAGGCCAGAAAGAGTGGCTTCATCGAAAAATCAATGAATCCCACTATGTCATCATTGTGTGTTCCAAGGGAATGAAATACTTTGTGGAAAAAAAGAACTGGAAGCACAAAGGATCCCGGGAAAAGGAAACTGGGAAAGGAGAACTCTTTTTGCTTGCTGTATCTACAATCACAGAGAAGCTGCGCCATGCAAAACTCAATCCACATGATCTCTGCAAGTTCATTGCTGTCTATTTTGATTACTCCTGCGAGGGTGACATTCCCGGTATTCTTGAATTGACTGCAAAGTACAAGCTCATGGATAACCTGCCTCAGCTTTATTCGCATTTGCATTCCAGAGATATTAGCCTTCATGATTCTGAGTTGTATCCTGTGCACATTAGCAAAAGAAATTATTTCAGAAACAAATCGGGACGATCCCTTTATGTAGCTATTTGCAACATGCACCAATACATTGACCAGGAACCTGACTGGTTTGAAAAGCAATTTGTTTCCTTTCTCCCAGCTCCTATACATTACCAAGAGCCTGTGATGGCAAAATTTGATTCTGGATTGGTATTGAATGACTTAATCAGTAAACAGGTGACCGATGGAGACTTCTACCTAAGAACTGATGCAAATATTATTCCACCTTTAAATTCAGACTCTCATTGTATGATGCAACATTTGAATCTTAGCGAGGACAGAGAACCTCAGGACATGCAAAATGGCAGCTTGATTCTTCCACCATTGCTACAGGTTGTAAAAGCTGCCAATCTCCCAGATATGCCTCGGGATTCTGGAATTTACGACTCTTCTGTTCCTTCATCTGAGTTATCCTTGCCTTTAATGGAAGGCCTCTTAGCAGACCAAACTGAAACCTCTTCCATTACAGAAAGTGTCTCCTCTTCGTCTGGATTGGGTAAGATGGAGCACCAGAGAGAAACGTACATCAAAATGGCAGTCTTTACGAACCCAACTAAAAACCCTCAATTATCTCACTCAAGCCGTTTGCCAGAATTGTTATCAGAATGGGATAATTGCCACATACACCCTCCTGCTGGACCATATATTCTGTACTGGTAATGTTTTAATAATGACAAAATCCTGAAAGGTCAGCAGGAAGACTGCCTATGCTTCCACTATGTCTAATCAACGCTCTCAAACTTTACAAAATGAGAGCCGGAAATGTAGGGTTTATCCATCCTATCCATGGTAGTGTCCTTGCATTTTTTTTTCCTGGTTAACCTTTGTGAATGTTGACACTGTCAGACTTAAGTTTAAAGAAAACAGAAGCCATGCTGCTCTTCTTAACAGATTCATCAGATTCTGTGTAAAGCACTGCTAAAGTAAAATGACTGTTAAAGAAGACTGTTGGCCAATCTGTAAGGTTCTAGTCCACCCTTCTTCAGCCTCATATTTTCTACAGGTTTTAATCAATAGTTTGCATAATCCTATAATGACTTAGCCATGCTGGCTGGAGTTGATGGGAGTTGTAGTTTAAAACTACAGATCCCATCAACAATTATGATGGAGGAAAAATATAACACTCTCCCATTTGGAAAGACCAGCAGGAAGACTGCCCACGTGGAGCCCATGTGCCCACATTCGGCTGGGAAACACTGCTGCGTTTCCAGGACACTCGAAATCTCTGCTTTCACATAGATCTGATGATAACACACTCAAATGTTTGCAACCAGAGAGCTAGAAATGTAGGGTTTTGCCTTTGCCTTTTCTTTTCTTTTTGGTTGTGTGTGGACATTGAGCATTGACAGGACTCAAAATGCCATGACCGATAGAGGTCAAGTATGTAAGTCAAACTCATAGGTTTTGATCATGAATGAGATACATTAGATTGATTCTGGCCCTTTTGCTTGCCCATCTCACACCTCTCAAGAGGATCCCCTTTGAAATTCTGGGTAAAAGGTGACTGAGACAGAAGAAATGTGAGAAGGTTATGTTCTTGTGGGGTTTTTCTTCTTCTTCTATGGCTCAGGCGCCACAGAAGCTTGATTTTGTTTTGTTTTGTTTAATACTACTGACATTGGTGATCTTAGTAGGTCATATCCCAAATTATTTTTAATTGTGGAGTTTAATTCTAAAGTTCATTTGTATACTTATGTTTTTCTAGTTAACTCTTTTGAAGTGCAGTTAAACAAACTGATTTACAGGATATTTCTGACTTTTTAAAAATTATTATTCCTAGGAGAAGAGGAACCGCCTTTGCTTGCTGATACCAAATCCCTAATGTCTGGAATGTGTAAAGCAGAACTTAATTGCCGTATCCATACTGAAGAACTGCAGGCAGTTGCACCTTTATAACACACTGCAAGATTGTTACGCATTGCCACTTTATCAATAGCCTCTGTGTATGCATCATCACAGCCACTCGACTTACTTGAAAGGAAAATAATACTTTCCTGGAGGAGTATCTTTTGCTTCTTGGGGAGTTTATGGCCAGTATGTTTTTATATTTTCTTCTCTTTTTTTCAATAAAAGATATTCTTTTATAGTCAAGATTTTATTACACTTCAGATTTTAAAAATGAATTTTTACAACCATATTGGATTTAGTGATGAAGTTATTTTTTACGGAAATTAAAATTCAGTTCCTTTCTAATATGGAATGTATATTTTGAAAAAGTACAAAGGACACAAGAAATACCAGATACCACTAAAGCATTACGTTAAAGCTACATGAACAAGTTCAGGTTCACATACTCCCATACTTGTTTTTCCTCCAGTATGATTGGGAAGACAGTTTTGGAACCACATACTTTCAGATTTTCTTAACTGCAGCTTCCCATTTTGGTTTGAGGGAATCATGATTAACAAATAACTATGATTAGTTCAATCACATCAGTTGAATAAACTATAGTTTGATTATGTCTTATTTTGAAAATGGCCACAATTAATGTTAACACTAGACTGAGCCATGGCCTAAGCAGGGGGGCACACCTAAAATGCAGTGGACTAGTGAATGGGAGGAGCACCCCCTTGTCAAAACATAGATTTCTAGTAGTTAACCGTTAATTGCTTTTCAGAAGCCATAGTTAGTTAAAATCAAAAGCTTCTACAATCCTCTTTCCAGGGAGCAAGGGAGAATAGGGGTATAGCTATAAAAATAATAATTGGAAAAAAAAGCACAAGAGGAGGCAGTCATGTAGTGCTGAACAAAGTAAGTAGCCAAAAATATGTGGCTTTTTGATTCAGTGTATTATATAGAATTGCTTCTAGTTCTAAATGCTAAAGTAATTGCTCTTGAAAATACGATAGGTGTACAGTAGGATCTGCAGAGAAGGGATTCACTGTGTTAAAATGCCAAAGACAAGACCTATTTTTTTTTAAAAAATAGGCTGTATTGAAAACAAAATCTTTCCTTTTGGTTGAAGTCTGTTTGTGTTTAAAACTTTTATTCAGTGTTTTTATATTCATTGTGTTTTGGCAGAAAGTTTTAAATTTCATGTTTCTTAGTCTTACATTAACCTGTGGACATATTTATGTTAACCTTTATTTTGCCATTTCATCTTGATAATAGTTTGAAACTCATTTGTGTTTACTAGTTCTCTTCAAATTTTCATTTTAGTATTAATTGTTTGTTGCTTAGAAAAACGTGCATCTCTATAAATGTTTTGGACTGAGTTCATAGATGCTGGAATAGTGTATAATGAACCATGAAGTTGGAGGGCAGAAGTCATTGTTACAAATCTAAAGAATTGCATGTATTACCAATAAAGTGTTCTTAACATCATACACAAAAATACTGAGAAAATAAGTATTGACTTAACAAACTCCATTTATTTAATAATTTTAAAAGAAATACATTAAAAAACATAAAAGTATACAAATATGTTCATGTGCACAACCAGCAACAAAATACAAGTGTAAATTCCACTCAAAATATATGAAAGCCCTGGTGTATCTGTATGTACAGTCACAAGCTAACACCCAGTAGTAAATTACTACTAGAGTAAGCCCACTGAATCAATGGAGATTTTGTGAGTCAACACCTATGTAACTTACATGAGTTCAATGGCCTACTCTTTTGGTGATTTATTACTGTGTTTAAGCCATTGAGAGCCAACTCACAGCTCTGTAGTTTTATGATGATGATGAAGTCATGTAAGTAGACTTAAGTGTCTGTCTCAGAACTATCCTAACAGTGCAGTCCTATACATCAGTGGTCCCCAACCATGGACCGGTGGGGGGGCATGGCATGCTCGTGCGGGGGCATGTCATGCTGGTGCATTGTGGGGGGAGGAGATCTGTGTCCGTGGCCCAGTCCTGCTTAGGCTGCGGACAGCTGCCGGGTTGTGGACTGAGGGTTGTGGACCCCTACTATACATGTCTGCTCATAAATAAACCCAGCTGGGTTTAAGGGGACTCTCAGCTGAGCAGAAACATGAGAATGGAATTGTTAGGCTAAATTCCAACATTAGTCCTATCTAGAGCCGTTAACAGAAATGGGCTAGTATTAAAAGGAATTTAAACTTGAATAATTCAAAACGGAGATGACATTTTGCTGAAGAGTTGTTTCAGTAGATTTCTCCCCATATCTGAAAACTTTACTGATTTTTTTGTAACTCTGCACTGCCGTTACCTGCCTGAATCTATATGTGTGCTGACCACTTGAAAATGTAGCCTGTGTATCCTGATTACTTGAAAGTCCATACAGCAGTAGGCCCGTAGCATTTTCCTTTCCACAGCATCCAGGTTATTCTACTTAACTTAGTTTTCTGTTTTTAAGAGAGTAAAACAGAGTTAATGAATTTTTTTAAAAGACCGAGGTAAATTCATCATCAAATATGTCATGTAGGAGTCCAGCTAGAGGTGAGAAGAATTAGAATAATGGGCTCCATTGCACTGTGGAGAATAAGTATTCTGGGATTCTGTGTTACTCCTGCCCATGTTACCTCCAATAACAAGAAAAAAACAAACCACCTTCCTTCCCCCAACCTGCTTTTACCCCACTTGAGTTCCAAAACTGAAAGCCATGTGGAAAATCAGTTTCTTGGAGCAAAGAGCGTTGGGGAATGGGTACACGCCATATGTGATCAGGCCCTGAAGAAACCCATTGGAATTGCTTAAGATTTAATTGTCTTTTGCAATTTTTCATTCTGTATTTGTCTCTGTTTTGGTATTGTTCTATGTATATATGATATTTAGTGGGGAGAGAGGTCTTGCCACTGTTCTAGATCATTTCCTACTCTAAGACCCCCATCATTTTCTGTTGCCAGCTAATAAGGATGTGAATATGGCCTGGGAACATCACTACCTTTCATTTAGCTCTGAAGTTTTCTGACACTTGCAGAAGCAGTGATTTGAAACTTGATGGAGTTGCCCTGTTTTTTTCAGTGCCCAAGCCTACTTGTCAGTCTCCAAGCTTTTTTTTTTCTGTTGTGCTACCTGTTCTGAATGACCTCCAAACAGTGAAAAAAAAGTGGTATTGCAGTCAGCTTGTCATTCCTCCATTGTTCTGCCCTTTTATTCTTGGCTTGAATTGTTGTGCAGTGACCCTCAGCTTGCTTCCTGTAATCCAATCTGGATTATTTCCTGCCTTGGGACAAATAATATGCACAAATGCTAGTAAAGTCCATAGAATGAAAAACTCATTTCAGTGGCAAAAATGCAGATTGTCAGAAAATTGTCTTTACCTCTGTGGCAGTCTTCCTCAACCCAGTGCTTTCCAGTTGTGATGCAACACAGATCACATCCTCTCAACCACTGTGATCAATGGGCAAGGTGGCTGAGATTGGTGGAAATTGCTGTTCAGTAGAGGTGGGGACCATCAGATGGAGCAAGGAAGCTCTACAGCAGGGGTGTCAAACTCAAATTCATCGGGGGCCGCATCAGCAGTTTGGTCCCCATCAAAGGGCTGGTTGTATCTGTAGGTACTACAGGGCAGGGCAACCCCTTCTGCGAGAGCCGCTCCTATGCCCATCAATAAAAGCATTTTGGGACCTGTCCACTCCGGGCTGCCCAAAGGTCCAGACCGCATTGGAACCCCCCCAAGCAGCAGGCAGCCAAGATGCTGCACCAAACGACTTGACTGGCAGTCTTTTCTTCCACTTCCTGTCGGGAGAGAACCGGGCACCAGCGTCTGACGTTGGGGGGGGG